ACATAAATATCAACATCCTGTTTATAGACTCTGTCTCACATAGTCACTTTCTACGCTCGATGCCTCAAACTCTGCAAACACTTCGTGGATTTCGGGAAACGACTGTTTTTAATTTTGAATTGTTTCAGTCACTGAAAGGTAGAACGTATGAGACACTACAGGCGCTATTTTCTGGAGAGTTGTATGATGTAGAAAAACCCTTTGGCACTCAGGACATGCCCCCGACTCCTGTTAAACTGAATAGGATTTTATCTGGTTTCAGGAAGCAAAGATATGAAACTATGTACACCGAAGATCTTTGCTGGATGTGGGAATGGGGACTTGTAAAAAATCTGCTAGCATATATGCCAGGTTATGACATTAAAAGCAGATGGGAACTCCTGAAAGTGGCGTTGGAAAAAGCTGGAATTGATCGTGTAGATATGACTCTGGCAAGTTGTGAGATTTTGCATGATAATCATCACCGTGACCCGTTCCACGGACCACCTGCATTATGTTACAATGGGCAATATCAGCATCATTATATATTAGAGTATCTTAGGAAACGGCAGGTGTTGTTGGAGGTGAATCGTAAGCCGTTCTTTCATCATACGCTTTTGAATGTTGCTCACGATGATCATGGCCGCCGCATTCAAACATTGGACGAAGATCTAGCAAACTATGTTAAAACCATCTCAGAATTACACAACACTTTTACTATTATTCTATCTGATCATGGAAATACATACGGCGAGTTCATCAAGAGAAGTGAAGAAGCTAGGGTAGAGATGTTCCATCCGGTCTTGTTTATGGTCGTTCCACCAGGCGTTGCCAAAACTCTGGGAGAAAAGCGTATGAATGCATTGAAGGTGAACCAACAGCGCCTGGTCAGTATTCTGGACATCCATTATGCTCTGAGAGTTTTAAGCGAAGGAAAAGTAGAAAAATTGGACGCAAAACATAAAAAATATTCAATTAAACCTGATGGAATCTTTTCTGAGATAGCATTAAACAGATCGTGTAGTAAAATTCCTAGAATTGAACCAAATGTTTGCATTTGTCAGGATTTTGAAGTTGCAGCAGCAAATGACGCAACGTACGCACTGATGGCGGAATTCGCTCTTGGTTCCATCAACAACGCAATACAGCAGCAATTTCGCAAATCAAATCCAGATGCAATGAGAGGCTTTGGTTCCTGTCAACGACTAGTGGCTCATCGTTTTGGAAACATCAAACAAAGACAAAATAAGGTCAGATATGTATTTCAAAAAAATAAAATAAGCTACGGGGGGGGGGGGTGCATTTGCATTTCCCAAGCATTTCCTCCTCCCCCTCCTCCCCCATTATTTCCCACATAATTTTCTTTCTCAAGTTTCCCCACCCTCAGGTTTTGTCGGAAAAATAAACTGTAAGATTGGCCAACAAAATTTATTTCTTCCAACGACCTGTCTGTCACTTCAAGGCCACCGGCCACTTAAAAGCAATCCATATAATCATGGAGGAAGATTATTTTCTTCCTCCATGATTTAACAATCTTCCTGCATTTGTAATAAATATACTGAGCGTTTAAATACAAATAAAAATGGATAGAAACGTTACCTGTTAATGTTATGATTTTATAAATTATAATTGTATCTCC